AGGGATGTGACAGAGATGCCACACTTGCTCTGAGCCTGCTGGTGGGTCCCTGCAGCCCCGTGACAGACCCTTGTGTCACACGGGCCGAGCTTTCAGATCCTGATTCTGGAGGTAACCAAGGGAGGACCTGCAAGCCTTGAGAATGAACACACAGGAGGTGCCTTATGAGGAACAGTCCAACTTTTACATTCCTTCCAGAAAGTTAGGCAACTGCTTTATTTTTTTCAAAGGAGAGTACTGCTACAGCTGTGGCTGCGGGGGCTGAAGTACCTGACGGAGCCATCAGCCCTGCCCACTGCAGTGGAGGAGGACTGGCAGCTGCTGCTGTTTAGATTGACCCTCCCATACTCACTGAATCTCGCAGGACTGCCATAAAACCTCAGAAGAGAGCATTCAGTTGAAGTGACTGCACACAGTACGACCTATTATTAGAACACACTGGATGCCTGGAAACCCCATCTAGTGTGACTTTCCATTTCTCCCTTTGTTTTACAGGGTTGAGTTGGGAATGAGATCTGTTTTAAGGAGAAGTTTATCCACCTACTCGTTTCTCAGCATGCTCAGCTCTACAGCAGTTGCACCTAGCCAGCAAACTCCAGAGTTTTATTTGATCTAAGTAAAAAATAAGCAATAAATCAATTGCATTATATTCACTGTAGGAGCTTCTTAATGGAAGTTAGTGTTCGTCCTCGATCAAAATAGCTGATAGGAGCCACCAGCTCTTTCTGGCCAGCTGCTTGTTTTTATTTTCTCCTACAACCTGCACTAAAAACATAATGTGAAGCCCCAAATCCTCTGAGTCTTCCCCTTGAAATCACCCTGTGCATCACACTTCATCACAGCCCGCCACAGCACTACCTGCTTTCCAGATGCTGCCAGTAAGGAAGAGCAGGGAACAAACTTTGGATCCCATGGGAAGCTTTTGTTTTGAGCAGACTTGGCTTTCCTTTGACAGCCACTTAACGAGATTCCTCATTTTCATGTTTTGGCAATACCTGTTATTATGTTTCACTGAACCAAGCACAATTATCTCCAAGCTATGCTTGGGACCAGAAGCTCTGATTCCCTGTGAGATCAGTCCTGTAAGGCTCGTGATGTAACACTTTAATTTCAGTAAGAAAAGGAGAGCAACACACCAACACACCTTGCTGGAAAGACAGGAAGAGCCCTGAAATTCCTTTGTAGTTAAATAAACAACTGAAGAGGTAGAAGCATAGTTTTTTGTGTAAGACAATAGCCAACTATTATCTAAATAATAAAGTGCTGATGACTTTTCCTTAGTAAACAGGTTATTGTCATGCAGTTCCGGATAGACAATTTGAAAAATAAATTACTGCCATCAGTCACAACTATTTATTTCTCTCTTACAAATATGCCCATCTGTCAGCTTCCTTATTGGCCAACTGAGACATTCCTGCATCATGGCCTTTAATCTCAGAAGATTCACAAATGGACAGCAGACATTTCAACGTGAGCCAGTGCCTGTTTAGTGGTAACTAATTTCATTTCATAAACCCTGCACTACAAACGCCAAAACATCCAAAGCATTTATGAACCCTAAATGACCATTTCGTACAAGCCTGTTCCCTGATGTCAGCAATACTCATAGTAAAGTTACTCGTGTGTGTAAATTATGACTGGATTGGGGTTTCAAACAAGATCTGTAACCTTGACAGGTGTCTATTATGCCCCCACTATTGCTCTGGAAGTGTTGATACCAGCAGCAGTTTCCAGGCTTTTCCAGCTATTAAGCCAGAGTTCAACCATAAAACCCTCTGGCCAGATTTTCAGCCCCCAACAGTTCACTGGTGCTTTGATCTGGGATTTTGTTTCAAGAAACAGCACTAAGAGAGGAACAGCTGTGACACTCTGTCCTGGATTTTAGCTCCCAGCAGAAATTCCTAACATTCTTGCAGTGGCCTTTACCTGCTGTTAATGTCATCCTCCAATCATGATTCCCAACGGAACCAAGAGCTCACTGTTCATTAACCACCGAGGGAAATCTTGGAGGTAAAGTCATGTTTCTGTTTCCAGTGACATCCTCAGCAGCTGCAAATGTGGACTAATATAACCTGCATCCATGTTTTGATCTGAATACACCTCAAACCTAATAATGCCATTTAAAAATAAACAGAACCAATAAATAAGGCCTTCAGAGCACAGTTCAAGGCCACTACACTGAGACAGGTATCCAGCTCCTAATTTACCAATTATAAACACCAGCACTACATTAAGAATACAGTATGATGTACAACAGCCCCTCACGGAGCAACAGGGTAAAAACTCGTTCAAGAATGATGAAATACAAACCCAAAACGTTCCCAGCAGCCTCTGAAACACACGCAGCACTGAGGATTTTTGAATTCGGGTTGTTTCAATGGCAAACCCCAAACTTAAGATCAGAAACATTATCAGGAGTGTTCAAACTGGAGAAATCAGAAGGATTGCGAGTCTCCTGAAACTGTGGTGCTCTCCACAGCACGAAAACATCCCTGTTCTTGCAGCCAGGTGACCTGGGAACACTGAGCAGTGTTTGACCCTGAGCAAACGGCACAAAGGCACCAGCAAAACCAGCCACGTTCCACTATAATTTCCACAAGATGAAAAGAAGCCTGTGCATGCAACTGCAATTACTATTAATGGATCCAGATATATGGATCCTATTGGTAAATCCCAGCCTAGTGAAGTTAAATTTGGCTGTTGCTTCATTTTTAGTGCCGTAATAAATTTCGTGTCCACTTTTTAAAAGGTTGGACCAGTGTGCGAAGGTCTGGAGCGCTCAAAGGCATTTAAAGTTCATGAAATCAGCAGTAAATTTGGAAGTAAGGACTTGAAACTATGAGACAATAAAAAAAAAGTAAAAGGAGTAGTAGTCAGCACATTCAGACAGGACACAAACTGCACTGAGCTGCCTCCAGAACATGATTATCACTGGGAAACTATTGCCTATTTGCAGATAGATCTTAGGTTTAGATTTCCACTGGGTTCTGCTCCTGAGATAAATGTAATTGCAGCCCAGCTGAAACAAATGGGCACTTACTTATTCAGTGACCAAATATGAAAGGACAAGAGTTAATAGGCAGTGATCACCTTCTAACTGAACTCTCCTAGGTTTGCCTAAATCCAAAGTTACCAGGAATTCCACACAATTAAAAGCAAACAAAAATATCTAATAATGATAATATGTCTAAACCTGAAATAGGTCTCAATAGCTCTCATTGATAACTCCTTTTATTTTATTTTTTTTTTTTTAACTCAGTTTGTGGTTTAAATTAATCTACAGGATTTCATGCCTGTAAATGTGTTTTGGGTCTGCTCTGACATGGAAGCTCGGGAACATGAACTGTAAATACATGCACACAGTGTTTGTGAAGATTCCATGGGGCTGTGCCCAACAGATATAACTTATTATGACTGGATTTTATTTTATTTTTAAACAGAAAGGTTATTCCCGACAAGGTCTCTACACCGGTATTTCACAGAGGAAGACGATCTTTCTAAAGAATTTAACATAAAAGCCTGATGGGGAATTTCAAAATGAATTAAGGATGAAAGGCCTCTGTGCTCATTTGAAGCTTTCTGAGTGCTTTTTAAGAACTGAACCAATTGAACATGTCAATTTGCCTTGAACCCCAAACCACTTCCCCGTGTAAAGAAATTTCCTGGAAGAAACAGGAACATTCTAGATGAAAAAAAAAAAAAAAAAAAAAGGCAAAAAAGATCCTTTTTTTTCCTTCCTGATGAGATGAGAAAACCTTTTGTTCAAAGCATTTAATTGAGCTCTGGTTTTTTTTTTTAACTAGCTGTATGTTTTCTAGCAGTTAACACTCATGTCACAGCCCCATTCCTCCAGAGAGTCTGCATATGTATCTAAATGCACAGAAGACAGTTTCTCCAGTCATCTGAGCAATTTCAAAACATTTCTGAAGAGAAAGAAATTACACCTGAAAAATGTCTCCAGTCGATTCCAATAAATGCTGTGTTTTAGCCTCCAGTTATTTGTTTCACTTCAACTCCAGAGTGCCCAGACAGGGAGGCTTCTGGAAGCCACTTAAAAAATGTTCCAATCGTGCAAGCAGGCTCCATTTTAAGAAAGCCTTTTAGTGGAGATAAGTTATTTCTGGTGAAAATAAGAGAAGAGCACAGCAGGGTCCCGAGTGCTAATCAAAGGACACGGTGCTTCAGGAAAACATCCTTCCCAAACAGATTGTTGGAGAACTGCAACAGCCCAGGCTGTACTGCAACAACTGCAGGCACACACGCTCTTTTTTTTTTTGGTAAAATTTGGGAATTTCATTTCTTCTGATCTGTGCTCCAAAGCGGAAAACCCAGAATTCATTTTATTTGAATAAAAAAAACTCCAAAACAACAGAGCGCTGCTGTCTTTGCACCGACTCCCTGCACTACTGGGAATTCCCTGCAGCTATTCCCGACTAGGGCAGGAATAGCTGTGCTGCCTCCACATAAAACCACCCCACTGGTGTTTGGGACCGCGTGACATGAAGCTGCTCACACCCCGGCCCTGGTGTGCAGGACCACGATGTTAATTCAGAACAGCTCTCGGCAGAAAGGGGAAGTCAACCAGGATGACTTTGCACTGCAGTCGCTGGGGAAGGCTCATCCAATCCCTTCCCCTGAGGCAGCTGTGGAGGTGATAATCACAGCTGGAAAGGTGATGGGAAACATCTGGACAGGCAGGACGAGCAGCAGAGCTGTTTGTGCAGTGAATGTAATCTGTGCACAGAGGGCTCGAGGTGAAATTACCAAGGCATTTGAAAATCAGGACAGGAATAAAAATTAAACACTGAAATTGTACTGAAACTCAATGTGCTGGCTGCACTGTTGCACCTCACTCTTCTTAAAAATCCCTCTCCTTATGCTTTTGAAACAGCAGCACAATCAATTTGCAGGAGCTGATTTAGTTGCTATTCCCAGGCTACTTCTCTTTTGTGTGTAACACCAGATGGAACTTCAGGAGCAGATACATGGCAGGAACTTACTTTAATGACGTCTTCACCAGAGGATTTGCACTCCACTGACTCGGAGATGTCTGTCACGGCACTGTTCTCCTCGATGGACACCACTTTGATGGGCACTGCCACCGTTTTCCCCGTGAGAATCGCTGTGTTCAGAATCTCCGTGTCCTGTACACAAAACAACAGCGCTGGTCAGGTTGGTTCTCAGTGCCTCAGGATCTGATTTCACCTTCAAATAGGTGCAACTCGGTAAAAAGCAGTGAAATCTCAGTTATATTTTATCTGCTAAATAAAAACAGTGCTGAACACTGTGAAATAACAAACATGACTGCAGATAAATTCAGTCCAGGCAGGCATGTCACAGGTATCTTCTACTTTGTAAATATGTGGGGCTTTTCCCAATATTCACCTTCCAAAACACGAGTTCAGAGTTTTTACTAACATGGACTTGACTGGCAATTTTTGGGACAGGATACAAGAGCCTCCAAAGTAAAGATATTGCTCTTTGAATCTAAGCCCACTGCGAAGACGGGGCCTCTCTGTGAACTTTGTATCTGGAACCGTTTCAAGATTATTTAATTTCCTCTGATATGGCCAATGAAGCAATGTAAGGAATCCAGAAGGAGTCAGTGATGCTATTAACTGCAGGCAAAATAACGAGCAAATTTGGAGTCTGAACTGGGGTTGGGGCCCATAAAAGCCTTTCAATGCACCATCGACTCAGCGAACTCCTCTAACTCCTGAACTGTTTCACCACCACCATATTCCCAAGACCCCCATGCAGGAAGAACTTCAAAGTCTTCTCCAACTTTTCAACTTCCAATATAAAGTGAATAAAACATTCAGCAAATTCCTCAGCACACGAGTCATGAGGACTGCAGCCACTGATGGCAACAGCAGCAAAATGGGGCACTGATGCTGTTGATACTGTTTTCAATTCAAGTTTAGTGAGTTTGAAATTTAGGTCAGATTTTCTTTTCATCTGGCAACTTGTTATCTCTCAGGTTCTCCTACAGCTCTCATAAGAAATCCCATCAAACTTAAAAGCAAATACTAAAAAAGGAATGTTGACTGTTCCAGAAACGTAAGAACCCTGAATTATTCCTATTGCATATAAGAGAGCAAAGCTGCTATTCAACACCTGAAATCAGAGCTAGATTTTTAAATAACACTATTGGAAAATCCAAGGCCATTCCCAGGAACTCCTAAGTCTCAAAGGCAGAGCCCATCCCCAGCCACCCCCCTACAAATGATGCCGGGTACTCAGCACTCAGTAAAACACCGCAGTGAAAGGTCTGGCTTTGGGGGCTTCACTCCTGTCATCCAAACCTGAAAATTTTGTTCCAAAAGCATTTATTTCCATGTACTGGCATCTTTGTAAGTCCAGTAACAAACCCCAACTACTCTTCTCTCTGCAGACTTCCAAAGCAACAAGCACTGAATAATCCACATGGGTTCATCAAAAAGCAAGCTCGATGTATTTTCCATTGTGCATTCGGCTACTGCAAGTATTGTGTGTCCTTTAAAATTAATCTTTTGTCTCCATTCCTTAAAGCCTTATTTTTTTGTGTCTCTGAGTGTTAAACACGGCGAACTAAGGACTCCAGGGCAAAGGAGCAGCTACAGAGTTTGTGGAAACGACAGGGAATATTTTCAGGCTATGTCAGCTCTGCTTTGAAATTATTTTACTCAGATCCAGCTTTTCTTTAGCAACTGATATGTATTACTGATACAGAAATGTGATTTAAAGGGACAGGTTCAGAGGAAGAGAAATACCATAATGGAATTTCAGATATAAAACACACTCTGTGGCTTGGGGATTTACCCATGTTTGCATTTAAAGTTAATTTATGAAGTTCGTGACAAACCAGAAAATCATACACACATAAAACAAAGAAGAAACAAGCCTTGCACCACTGCCAAGAAGATAAAGACCTGATTACGCAATGAGGTGAAACTTTTGTGCCACGAGCAGCAGAGTAAATCCATCCCCCAGGTTTAACTCCCAACCAACCGCTGGGAGCTGCTGGAACTCCCCCCAGCCCAGCTCTGCTCATCCCTGCAGCGCTGAGCCATCAGTGGCCCCAACACGAAATCAAATACAAAGAGGAGGGAAGTGGGAAGCCCAGCAGACAAGACCACGAGGCACCCTGCCCCATCCTGTGCTCCTGATTTCCCAGCCTGGGTGTCATCAGGAATAGAATCTGGCTGCCCTGGGTATGGGCAGACCGGCAGCTGCATCACACCCAGTCCTGTTTGCTGCTCCACCAGCCAAGGAGGGCTGCAGGGAAGCTCCCAGCCCAACCACAGCACCACCACAGCACCCCAGAGCAGGATTAAATCCAGCACTGGACACAGGGTGTGAAAAAACCAGGAAGCATTAAAAATCAACGCGAGCTCCTTCTTTTCTGTGGGAGCAACAAATCCCATAAATAATGGACAGAGGAGAGTCAGCGGGAGAAGCTGCTCTCAGAAAAGCACTTGGGGACTAGAGTAAGTCACAAACTGAATGTAAGCCAGCACTTGCACACTGCTGGGGTTAAAAGCCAAACCTAAACCAACCAAAGAACCCTCCCTGTTCAAAGAGGATTTTCACCTGTAAGGGTAAAGTGCTCCTACACTGCACTGGCACGGCCTCAGCTAAAGGACTGTCTCTGCTTTTGAGAATTATACTGCCAAGGAAAACTTTCTCACGTGAAAAGAAACAAAAAGGAACAAGGAGAATAAATCAACAACCAGAAACTAAGATCAATAAGGAATTACTGAAAGAATTGGGATTGTTTAGACTAGAAAAGATTATGGGAAAAGATGTTTACTGTTTCCATAGACATAAAAATCTTTAAAAAAAATGAGAAAGAATATAATTCTTTCCATGTTCATGGACAGGGCCTGAGGTAATGGGCTTAAACTGCAGCAAGGGAGATTTGTGTGACATTAAGGCAATCTTTATCATAACAATAATGATAGAGAACTGATGGAACATGTTGTCCAGGGCAGAAGAAAATGCAGTCCAGCCTGAGAGATCTTTGAAGAACAGCTTATCCATCATTCAGAAATAACACAGGTGGTTCCCTTCACCCCTTTATCTTAGTAGCCTCCTTTTCTTCAAGATGGGATGATCCCACAACAACCCACATATCCTGTGTCCTCAATAACCCTGCCCTGCTTCTCCCATCACAAATGATATGATCTTTCTCTGCCAGACGAAGAAAATGATCTGATGCCTCTCAAATGGAAACATCTGACAGGGAAATGTCTCAGATATTCCTGCTTTCTGCCCCGTGTGGAGCAGAGCTGCCGGACCAGTTGTTAAGTAATAATCTGTCACTTCCGCTTCTCTCGCTCCAACAGGTCACTGCTGATGGATCTGAATTCTAAGTGGCTGTGATACAAAGCCATTATTGCAAAGGCCCAAAAACCTTTTCAAATTTCCCAAGACCTTTCTGGAGAGAAGACAGAAAATTTGGCTACTGGGACATTATCAGCAATTAGAAACCTCAGTCTCCCGCCCTTTGCTAATGGCTTCATTAAAGGAAGTAGTGTGCATATGAACGAATTTATTTTGATTAATTACCTCAGAGAATGCGTCTGCTCCCAAAATTGTAAAAGGCACTGTTTGTCATGACAAAGGGCTACTGGAATTTTACCTCCCTTCTCTGTAGTACATCAGGACTTCAGGAATTTCAAAGTCATGATGAGCAAACTAGAGACCCTCAGCATTGGGAAGCAACTGGTTCCCACCCAGCTGCAGCTCTGGGCAGAAATGGAAACGTTTGGATTTCATCTCCACCGAAAGCAGGGCCACACTGAGCACTCTGGACATGCCCCACAGACAGGGGGGCTCTGCTCCAGCACCAGAACCTGTTTCCTGCACTCTGCCACCTCCTGCAATACCACTGATTATCCACTGAGAAGCAGAAGTGGCAGCTGAATCTTCAAGGAAATGTCAAGCAACATTAGGAAAACAATTGTTCTCACAGCAGAGCAGGAAATGCAATAGCTGGTAGAGGTGGTGATTTCTCTGTTTTGTTTTTACATGCTATATCCTATCCTGCTTGCAAGCTAATTTGGGAGTATACAAACAAGATTACTAAGAAACCTTTGGAGAGACCAAGAACTCATTTAAAGTGCAGGCACTTTTCAAAATCACAATATCTTGGCCACTTCCACGTTCTTTAATTTTTAAAATCCCCCAAGAACTAATCTACTTTCTGTGCAGGCAGCAACTGAAGTTTTAAAATCAGATTTATTTTTTGTGACAAAGACTGAAAGCATCTGATAGCAATGTTTGGACTTGTTCCCAAGAAACTCAAACAAGGGGAAAGCAGTGTAGAGTAAATTGAAAAAACAGAAGAAGGATGAGTTGTAACTAAGCATCAATACCTAGTTTGGAAAGAAGTTTCTCTAAGTGCAATGCGAACTCTAAAAAAAGCAAGGGTTGGCACTTCCAAGGTTGAAATGGAGAGCTACATATATAATCCTCATTAACACAGAAGGGAGATTTGAGCTCTGGAAGCCTCAAACTGTCTTGGCAGCCCAAGGACCAAATCCCAAGATCAGCTGACCCTGATACTGCAGAGCCAGAGTTGGTTTTCTTGTATGAAGAACTGCCCACAAACTCCCAGTTAAGATGGTTCTTTCCTGGCACCAGGGCATCTCTTCAAAGAATACAGCATAGGAAGGTAATAATTACTATTTAAACTTATTCAGTTAACAAACAGAATCATTAAAGAACACTTTTTCTTGTTCTTCTAATGGTCAGAGGACAACTCTAGTGGTTGGGCTTAAGCAGATATCAAAGGAGATATTAAAAAACAAATCATTGAATTCTGTGGGTATGAAATTACTTCAAAAATCTATTGACAGAATTCAGTATCACCACTCTCCAGGAAGTCTCCAAGTTTTCATCCTGGGAGCTGATGTTAGGATTCAGAGTGCCATCAACTTCCATCCAGAAAAATCAGCACTTTCTCAGAAAGGAAAAACACCACCCCTAAAGCAAATGTATTCTAGACAGAGCTGAGGAGCTTGTGCTCTCATTTGGCCATTCCATGTTAGGTAAATCCTATGGCAGGAGTCTCACATTTTATTCCATCCCTGTTTCAGTCAGGGAACTTCCACTGATGTCAGTGGGAGCTCTGTGCAAAGAACAGGAATACAGGAATTGA